TATTTTTGGGAATAGCACTTACAGATATACGTAACCTTTATTCTGTTTTGGAAATGATACTCCCGGATATGTAAAACCTTTGTTCCAATATTAGGAACAGCACTTCCAGGTATTCAAAACTCTTGTTTCGTTTTTGAAATGAACATTTCCTGGTGCAAAAAATCTTTGTTCTGTTACTGAAATGCTGTTTCCAAAACAGAACAAAATTTTCCAGATAGGTCAATTCTAGGAACTGAACTGTTGGAGCAGATCCTATTATAGGATCTGATCGATTCGAACAGTTCTGTTGCTTATTTTATCTGAACTAGATGTTAGTCGATCCATATTAGTTATAGAATTGATTTTTTTTTTTTTATAAAAACAAAAGTCAATATAATTACTGTTGGTGGTTTATCGATTGGTAGATATTTAAGTGGTGTTTGTAAGAATAAACTTCGATTATCTTCATTAGCAAAACGATATGTTTTAGATTTATATGAAACAGTAAAATCTGGTTTTCCAGGTACGAGAATATTTTTCTCGAATAATGCAACAGGATCATAGATACTTGTATCACCAAGATGTTTTTTACGATCACTTTTAAATAAATCAACAACTTCTTCTTCTTCTTCATTATCACCTTCTTCATCTTCATTTCCAGTTTCTTCTTCTTCATCAACATCTTCTTCATTATTTTCATGTTCAAGTGGAATATATTTAAATTGTTCTACAAGAAAATTTCAAATAGAACAAACACAAAAAAAAAACATTTATTGTAAAATCTACTTTCAAGTGCATCATAGGCTTCTTGAAATAATTCTTCATTTGTTTTTAATTTTTCTCCATCTTCTTTCATTAATTCAATATAAATTGGTTCAAGATTATATACACTTGATACTGTTTTCATTAAATCATTTATACGTGTTATATCATTACGAGCTTGTTGAATAAATGTTTCTTGTTCAATACCAGCTGGTGGTAAAATTTCTTGATCAAATGGTATCGGAGATATTGATGGTGGAGCACGATTAAGATCAAGACCTGAAGCAACTATTTATTTGATGATTTTATTAGATAGTAACAAAACAAAACAAAAAGATCTTATTAATACATACTACTTGATTTGTCTTTATCAAGGTCTTTACTCATTGATTCATCCTCTTAAGAAAAAGAAAACATAGAAATTATTTATCAAAGTCAGTATATATGATTGTCATAAGTTGCAAAACTATTTATTTTTCAACACTGGAATGACCAATTTACAAGCCTCTACTAACCATATATCACCCACCGAAATGAATCTTTTTTTTTAAAAGTAATCCACGGTACATAGATTTCCAGCTTTATACAAATAAATAACAACATAGCTTCAAAAAGTCGTAAAAAAAATCAAATTAATAATAAATTCAATTTTTATTCCTTTGGTTTTTTTCTCGCTTTTTCAAAGAAATATGTTTGAAGGATGCGAGTGATCAGATGAGTCTTGCACACTTATATCCCAGCTCATCCAGTATATTAAATTTTCTCCTGTCATTAGATGATTATCTTAATCTAAAAAATAAAAATTACCTTCTGGTATTGTTTCTGGAATTTTATCAATAAAATCTTCTTTTTTTGGTTCATAATTTCGATCTTCAAGTATAGCTTGTTCCATTTCTATATAAAAAATAAACCATAAAAAAAAACAAACGAATCTAAATTGATTCTAAAACCTTTTTCATCTGTTTCATCTTCATCATCGACAGGTTCACCAGCATCAATTTTTCTTTGCCGTTCAGCTAAACGTTCATTCCGTTCTTGTTCAGCAATTAATTTCATTTCTTCCATTCGTCGTCTATAAAACATTAAAAAACAAAACGTTGAAATCTTTTTTTTTCTGTTGTCTTAATTTTTATTATACTTTTGTTCTTCATCTCGAATTCGTCTTTCATTTGCTTCACGTTCTTCACGTTCACGAATTTCTTTATCAACTTCAAATCGATTTGCTTTATACCAACGTTTTTGTAATGCTCCTAATTGTGGATGACTATCTTGTAAAACAAGAACATCATCTGGATGAATATTTTTTTCATTTAATAATGTCCAAATTTCATTATCATATGGAAAATTAACAAATATCCAATTACCAAATCTTTGAAAAAACAAAAAGAAATAAAAAGAAAACAAGAATTCAAAATTTATTTACAAAGGTCCATTAGGATTTTTTTCTCGTTGTTCTTGTTCAATATTTTGTATAGCTTTACACATTAATTCAGTATAAACATCAGCTGGTATATTAACAGCTGCATTACGTGCTTCTTCAATTGCTTGTTCAACAGCTTTTTTTACTTCAGGATGATCAGCTGTTATTTGTCCGATAGGTTCAACTTGCGTTTTTTCATCTTCAGGACCTAAACCATGAAGATCTTCTCGAGGTACTTCAGTAGACGCTGGTGGTGGTGAACGCGCACTTGATGGTCGCGACGAGCGTTCAGCTGGTGGTTGTGAAAGCGCACTTGATGGTCGCGACGAACGTTCAGCTGGTGGTGGTGACGAACGTTCGGTAGGTGGTGGGGAACGTTCGGCTGGCGGCGGTGATGAACGTTCTGGGGGCGGTGGTGACGAGCGTTCGGCTGATGTTTGTGGTTGTTGTTCGTCTTCGTCAGGATTTGTAGCTTTTTCTGTTTGTTCGAAATCATTTGGATCAGTTGTTGTTTCATTATCTTCTCTAGTTAATGGTTCCGGTTCTTCATCTATTTTATCTTCAGTTTTTGATGTTGTTGCTTCTTGAGCTTTTTCTAAAAAAAAAACAAAGAATGAAAATATTTTTTTTATATTTATATTTATTCATACCAGCAGCTTCAGTATCAGCTTGTAGCTGTAATTTGTCAATAGTTGCTCGTTGAACTTCATTTTTTATAGTATCAATATATTGTTGACGAAGTTCATCCATTTTTGGTTGAGCGTATGATACCATATCAATAACCTTTTTTTTTTTTTGGTTTGAAAAAAAAAATGTTTTCATTTAATTTTTATTTAATTTTTATAACTTACTGTTGCATTATATTTTTTACCAATGTCTTGTGCTAATTGTTCAATACCAGAAGATCGAGGACCATAGAGAAAAAGTTTACATGGTGCACGTGGTTGAATTATATACCGACGAGGATTTTTTTGAAATTCTTTTAATGATTCTTTACTTGAAAGAACGAATATTTTATCCATAAAACTAAAAAAGGAAATATTTTTTTTTTGTAAATAGATTTATATAAGATATAAAGATTAACATACTGAACAGCTAAATCTTGTCGACCAGGTATACGATTTCCTTGTTTAAGAGCAACTGGATCAAGACGTAACCATCGACTTCTTTGCCATTTATATTTATTTGATAGAACATTTGAACCAGTTAATGAAGCCATTAATTCTTCAGTTTCCATTTCATCAGCTGGTGGAGTTTCTTCAGCACGAAGAGCATCACCACGAATAGCTTTTTCACCTTCTTCTTCTTCATTATCTATGATAAAAAAATTTTTCTTTTTTTTTTTTTTTTTCTTATTAATCTATCTTAATTTAACTATTACCCATTTCATTTGTTTCTTGTGGAATTTCTTCTTCTTCTTCTTCTGGTGGAAAAAATCTTTGAACAAGTGCTGCACGTCTTAATGCATATGCATTAAGACGTTCAAGTAATTGTTCAAATAAAATTGTTGGCGACATATTTCCATCTAATTCAACTAAATATGATTGTGGTAAACTAGCCATATATTCTTCAAGCATTCTTAATAATTGATCTTTAAAAAATTGTATACTATCAGTAACATCAGGCATTAAATCTTCAGGTCGCATTACTAATCGTTCAACAATTTCTGTTGGTACGGGTGAAAAAAATTCATCCTTAAAAAAAAAATTATATTATCAAATTTTTCAATAGATATTTTTATTTTGTTATTGAGCACATACAGTTACTTGTTCTTCTTCTTCTACTTCTTCATCATCATTATCAGCATCTTCATCAATATCACTTACATCATCATCATCACCACCGGTTTGTTGTTTACCAGTCTAAATAAAATCAATTTTCACTTTTTTGTTTTATTTTGTAAAAGGATGGTGAAGAAATATATCTCAAAAAATAGATTGAATCAAAATAATTTTCTTGTGATTAGCTATTATTATGTTTTATATTTTTTGAATTCTATAAAACTTACTACTTTTTCGACGGGTGTAGGTGCATATTGTTCTTTAATATATAATGTACCAGTTACAGGATCAATTTTTTCTTCTTGTCGTCTATTAATTAAATCATTATCAGGTATACGAATATTAATAACATAATCAGGTGGTAATGGCCAATTTTTCATTGTTTCCATTTGATCACGTAATTTCATTAAATTTTCATCCATTAATGGAAATCCATCCAAAATATAACCTTAAAGAAAATAAAATATTTTCAATAAGATTTTATTTAATTTTTGTTATACGAACCATGATGTGCTACTTCAGGTGAATGCATTTTAATATGTAACATACGTGCAATCATTTGATCAGGAACAGCTTCACCACGTACAAGTAATTCACGTGCATGCATACCAATTTCAGTTTTTTGTTTTATATTTGCTGTTATAAGATCAGGAACTAAAAGAATA